AATACACCCCGGATCTGTATTCTCATCACGAATGCAAATGTACACATTTTTCCGATTGAATTCGATAACCCCCGATGTTTAATCCAGATCCGCAGCCGAGGGTTTGTGAGGCGAAATGAACTTTTAGCCATTTCATATCCACGAGAATGGAATCCACGAAAAACTTTAATCTGGCTTTCAATCAACTAAGCCCGCCGTCGGCGAACATCTCTCGAGGGTGGATCGATGAGTGGGACATCCGAATACACTTACAAAGATACCCCGTAGCAACCGTTATTAAGTCTATACCCGAATAAAATTTTATTCAATTTTAAACTGATTTTTTGGATTAACTTTTAATCCTCATCCATGTTTTTTTTCGTCAGTAATATCAGTTGTATCCAAGCGAAGGGATGTTACGATTGAAAACCAATTTAATTTTTAGTGAATTGTGATATTTAGTTTTTATGTTATGATTCAATTTATTTATTTTTTCTTGTTTTAGCTCTGAGTTATTGTCTTGTCCCGAATCATATTTTTGGAAATTTCCCTTCTTCTATTTTAACTTTGCATAAAATTTTCTCTCTTATCTATTACATCAGTGTTAGCATGTACTAATTTCTGCCGGTATCTCTTTTATGCATTTTTCGACGGTTTAGTCTTTGTACCGCAGAAAATCAAAGTCGCAACATTATAAAATGTGTTACAAAGGCAAAAGAGAAGCGAATAGAAAAAAAGAGAAAAATAGGATGTGGAGGAATAAACGAGAGAAAGAAAGAAAATAGCTGTCGCGAGGAGCTCTTATATTTTCTCCTTGTAATCTTTAAAATCTTTTTTGGAATATTAAAATCAGGACACTAAAACGTTTCGGGAAAAATTCTGTGTTTTCAATTCCTATTGTTCTAAAAATGTAATGTTCTAAAAACCTAATGTTCTAAAAATGCCTACGCTTCATGAAAACAAAATTATCACCGTCGCGACGATCGATGACGGGACTGGGCCGACGAGCATATTTCGCTCGCCGATAGGACGTAATTGCCATTTCGTTTTCGCACTTTATATAGATCTCGTGCCTAACTGCAATTAACAGCGTAATTCCATCGACGCCGGAGAAAAATCCCGGTTGCCCGGGCAACACGGGAACGTCAGGAATTCGATCGTACTTCAATGCGACTCGTCCCGCGTTTTCGTCCCCGTCGAAAACGCGGCTGGACCGCCGGCTGCCAGATTCCATTCGCGTAATTACAGTATCCTCGTGGCCGCTAAATGTTTTAATGACGAACGACATCGGGATACAACTCGACGAACATCGATTTTAATTAAATGAAAGCGCGATACGCGCTGTTTTTGCATCGCGTATCACGCTTTCAATATGTTTATGTTAACGTGACGCTCTCTCTCTCTCTCTCTCTCTC